TGCTTGATAAGAAATGTACTCATTACCTTGCTCATGTAACTGTAACCCTTCTGTACAGTATTTTCACAATAAAAAAAAGAAATTTTGTTTGACTAGAAATAGATATAACATCTCCAAACAATTTTAGCCAACTTTTTTATAGACAGAACTAAACTATTAAGCTTATCATTAAATTAAGAATAGTACATCACAGGTCAAATTATCAGGATCCAGTTTGTGTTTTTATATGGGCTCTGTTTCCGTTCCCTATTTCTTACACATACACAGTGCACCTCTGTCTCCCTTCTCCAGGACTTCACTGACTCTCAGCCGAAAAAACATTGCATTGGTAGCCAGCCTTGATGTATACTAAACAGGTATATACTTTGCCTGTCCTGGGGCTTGAACTCAGTGCCTGAGCGCTGTCTCAGAGCTTTTGCTCAAAGCTAGTGCACAGCTAGCCTTGAGCCACAGCACTACTTCTAGATTTTTTGTTTTTGTTTTTTTTTTCTGAGTAGCTTATTAGAGATAAGAGTCTCATGGACTTTGGCTTCAAACTATGATCCTCAGATCTCAACCTCTTGGGTACCTAGAGTGTTACAGACGTGAGCCACCAGCACCTGGAAGGTATGCACTTTATTGAGCAAGCTGAAAACGGACACTGGATCTTCCCTTCCTCGTCCTTTTCCTTCTGTGGGGGAGCAGTAGTAGGGACTGAACCCAGAGCCTTGCATATATACTAGAAGAGTCCTCAATCACTTCAGATAATGTCCCCAGCCCTTGGTTCTTCACTTTCTAATTTTAACTGAACGTGATTTGATTGGGGATCTAAGTTGCTCACCTCCAGGGTTGAGATTTTTTTTTTGGTGGGGGGGAGGGGGGGCGGGTCCGGTCGTGGGGCCTGAACTCTGGGCCTGGGTGCTATCCCTCAGCTCTTCAGCTCAAGGCTAGCGCTCTACCACTTGAGCTACAGCGCCACTTCCAGCTTTTTTCTTTTTGCTTATGTGGTGCTGAGGAATCGAACCCAGGGCCTCATGCATGCAAGGCAAGCGCTCTACCACTGAGCCACCTTCCCAGCCCGAGAATTATTTTTAATGCCTGGAATGTTCTCATTCTCCACATGTCAGCCCCACTGTCATTCCAGCTTGGGGTACTTGCCATACTTGTTACCACACCTGCTTTTCCCCTGCCTTAAGCTCTGTTTTTAGATCATCACCTGGTTGGCCAACTTTTTCTCCTCTCTCAATTACTGGCATTAAGGTCATCTCCTCAGAGGTCCATATATAATCTAAAGCAATCCTACCTTGCCTAAGCCAGTTTTTTTATATTTCTCAACTTAATCTATTTTATAATCTTGGCAAAAAAATTACCTCAAATCACCTTGTTTATCTATAGACATAGATGCATGCCTGGCACATCAAGCCTTGGTTAATTACCCAGTTGAAAGAATGAAACCAGACAATGAATGAATATTTATGACTCATGTGATTTGTAAACACACATCAGAAACAATAATTGTAAAATTATATGGGGAAAAGCCAAAATATTCTGTGTTTTAATAACCTTGAGTAACAGCAGGGAGGGTTATTCTGCATCTTAACATCACAGCTCTTCATAAGCAGCGCTAAGATGTTTCTATACAGAGCTTTCCTTAGGGTAATGATAAACAAATGAAATGAGTATGCTTTGCTCCTACAATGTATTTTTCAAGGGAGTAAAAATATATTCCACTCTGTCCAAGACACAGTCCATCTTCTCACTGGTAAAACATCATTAAAACAATGTTGAAAATTCTTCAGAGTTACTTCCCAATTTCATATTCAAAACAAACCTCTGATAGAGAAAGATTGTGTAAGACAAACAAAAACAAGTCATAAATTAGGTCACCAGACTTAAAATAATATTTTTGCAGAAACTTGTATAAGTTTTGGCTAGGTTTTAAGCTGGAAATATAAAATGTCCCAGAAGATTCACAAAGCTCAGGAATTCAACTAGTGACTCGGTCAGATGGAAATGTCCTTTGTGATCCTGGCTGAACATCTCTTCCCTATGCTCACATATGGACCGCTTCAGTGACACATTAAAATACTTACTGGACAAGGTACTAAATTCTTATTTTCATTAGTACCTATTTCAAATTAGAAAATTCTTTTGTCTGTTTTAGGGAAGAATTCTTTAATTTACCTAAAATTCTTTCTAGCAGTTCTATCAGCTCACTAGTTCTTTTAGAAACTTGGTTCTTGATGGAAAATACCACATCTACCCTAGCACATCATTTTTATGTGACTTTAATTCAATCTTTCTAACACTATCTTTTGAGATCAAGAATGAATTATTAGGTACAGGAAAGCCTGGGCTAGGAAAGTCGATATTCTTCCAGAGGACAGATCATAATAATAACTGGGATTGATGTTAGGATCCTAAAAGCACAGCAGGCAAGACCTCTTAGTATCTGAAGAATTAGTGTAATAAAAGAAAGATATCTTATATATCATGACATTTAGAGGAAAAGAGCATAACAATATCCTAGACACAAACATTTAGGGGCTAAATTTTAAATAGTAACAAATGACTGACTAAAATTTAAGTTTCTCAAGGTATCAAGCATCTGTCCTACTCTACAGTGACATTAAACTATAGAAAAATAAGAATGTGTGCTGGGCACCGGTGGGCTCACATCTGTAATCCTAGCTACTCAGGAGGCTGAGATCTGAGGATCGCAGTTCAAAGCCAGCCCTGGCAGGAAAGTCTGTGAGACTCTTATTTCCAATAAACCATTCAGAAAACCAGAAGTGGAGCTGTGGCTCAAGTGGTAGAGCACCAGCCTTGAGCTGAAGAGCTGAGGGACAGCTCCCAGGCCCACAACTGCCAAAAAAAGGAAGGAAGGAAAGAAGGAAGGAAGGAAAGAAGAAAGGAAGGAAGGAAAGAAGGAAAGAAGGAAGGAAGGAAAGAAGAAAGGAAGGAAGGAAGGAAGGAAGGAAGGAAGGAAGGAAGGAAGGAAGGAAGGAAGGAAGGAAGGAAGGAAGGAAGGAGAGAGGGAGGGAGGGAGGGAGGGAAGGAAGGAAGGAAGGAGAAAAAAGAAAAATAAGAATGTAACATTGGATGTATGTATAAAGAATCTTTAGTGATCATTTTCATATAAAAGAATAATTCTTTTTTGTATCACAGTCTAACTATCTTATATGCCATTTTATTACAAACCATGTTACATAATGTAAGGTCACACTTCAGGAGGAAAAAAATAAATATGGACCTTTGCCATTGTTTTATGAAGCTTCAGCAGCTTCAAAACCTAAAAATTATTTTCAAACGAAATATCAAGACAATTACTTAATTTACTTAAGTGATACCATAACAAATCCTCAATGGCACAGTTACTAGCCTCAAGGAAAGAGGACAAATACAAAACTAAGTTAAAGGCAACTTTATTACAATACTTTTCCAAACATCAAAACGCAATTAATGCAGATCTAATATATAATACATTACGTTACAAGGCACAAAATATTTCTGGTCAGGTATGTGGCTTCAATGTATTGCTCAAAACAAAACTTCCTAGGATTGATTAGCAGCAATACACAGCAGATATAATACTAAGTAAAATCATTTAAACTGCATTTTATTTTGTGTTATTTTCTTTTAGTTGCAAATAAAGCAAATCTACTTTTCTATACATCTCTTCCTACTAGACACCTAGAAATCTGTTATCCTGTAAGATCCCAGCTGAGATATATTTCCTTTGGTAGAAACTAGGATTTTAAATCTAACCAAACCAAAAGAACACCGTACTGCAAAAAGGAGAGAATTCTCTTCTCTGCTTTGTTTAGGAGCAAAATCTTGCCCTCTACATCTTCATATAGCCATTCCGAACGGTCCTTGCTTTCCAGGATACCTAAATCTACAAAAAATGAACTCTAATGAAGTCTTCTCCTTAATCTTGTCTCCTCACATTTGCTTACTTAATTTACAATGAACTTTGGGTATTCCATAATAATGACCTTAAAATAATCTTGGGAAATGTAATAACATAAAGGAAGTATTTTCAAAATTAAATAAAGACATTACTTGCTCTCCTGCCTCTGCTTCAATCTACCAGCCAAATACACTTAGGAAAATAATTCCTTGTCCAAGATTATGATCATAATAATAACAATGAAAACAGATATAAACGCACTGAATTAAATCTAGTCCCTTTTTTTTTTTTGCTTTAACATTTGTGAACTACCAATTGGCACAATAGGTTTTCTTTCTGGTTTTCACAATAGGAATTTGTTAGAAAAGTATAGTAAAGTTCTACTTTTTTCAGAGGTCAAATGTAATACAGACTTTGCTATGAAGTTGAAAAACAAAAGGTGAATGAAAAGGTATGTGCTGGCTGCTTGGGGTTGCTAGGCTCATAAATCACTGTACGTTAAGAGCACGTGCTGAAACTTCATGGTGCCAGTCACGTAATTTTGTGTATTTGGGACTAAAGACGTGAAGGGGTATCTTTTCCCTGTGGAAATAAAAACAAGAGTGATAGAAGAGTCATAAGAAAGAGAAAGAAACAGGTTCTATACTAATTCCAACATGCAGAACACATGCTTTATAAAAAAAGCTCATTTCTCATAGTCTTTTGGTTAAATAATGAAGAGTTTAAAGAGTAGAACATGTTTAGAAATGCAGAAGTTAAGTTTACAGAAGCCTCTTGGAAACATATATTTTTATGCTATAAAGTAAATGTGAGATAACACATGGACTCATTCCTAGAGATAAATGGTTAGCAAAGCATCCCAAATCCACTTCTGTGACCATGTCTATTTCAATACCAAAGAGAATATACCTTAGCCATAAATACAGACAATATCACTAGCTTGAACATCTGTAAGTTGTACAATTAAGTCACAAGAAAGGCACCACACTGAAATGCTTAGCTTCTATTTGCAAAGACAGGATGGCATACCATTGCACTTTAAAATCTGTAAAAACCAAATCAGCCCATTCATGAAAGAAGCATTCAATTTTAAAAACAAAGAACTTACTTTGCCTTCTTTGCATTATCAGCTTCAGATTCTTTCACTGAAATATAATAATGTCCAATATTAGTTTACTTTAACCTTAAAGTCACTAAAGTAATTACTGTTATTAGTCAATATCAACAGTTCAAGTTTCAGAGACAATTTTAAAAAATTACCATGTTATCACTAAATACTAGAGTCAATAGTTCTCCTTTCCCCTCCTCCTCCACTCTTCTGCTCAATATAAGGCTACTGGACTGGGCATCTTACTTACGGTACCCATATTATGTACAGCTTAATTTAAAAGTGAACGACATGTCTCAGGATTGCTTTTTAATAACTGCCAACAGGTCTAAAGGTCACTCTCTGGGGTAAAGAATATTGATTCTTTAAGATCTACAGCTATGTGGACAGAAAACAAGGAACAATCCCAAATTCATACTGGAAAAAAAAAAAAATCCCTAGAAGTTAGTTCCCTTACAATGCTCAGTCCCGGTGATCTGGGCGAGGATTCGGAAGGAGCGAGACTGAGTTGTTCCAGTCCTTGGGCGCCAGTCCTCCGTGTCCTCAATCAGTCTCTTCTTGCTGGCATCACTGTGAGTGGGTATGTGGTAAAACTCTGTATTGCGCTCCACAATGTGCTTTCTTGGTGGGCTAGGGATGAAAAGAAAAAACAATAATGCAAACATTTGAATTAATTATATGAATAAAATACCCTGTGGTCAATTATTTATAATTTGTACATTTAATCCTCAATATTCCTTTTATGTAAATAGTTGGCTTGTGCAAATATACTTGGCTTCAGTTTTTTAAATACTACTTTTCTAACATAGACTAGGCTTTTTTTAAATTAGTAAAATAAATTCACTTATAATGTTAATATGAACTAGTAGGAGAAAAATATATTCAACAGAGATTACCGTTTAGGTGGGATTTTCCTTTTAATTGACAGAAGAAGGCAGCAGAAGAAAAATTTCCAACATGAAGAAAAGGAAAAGAAAAGAATAAGGAATAAAAGGAAACTTGGAAACGTAAAGTCTACAATATTAAAAAATCAAACAATTTGAAATAACCTGTATCAATCTTTCATCAGTCTTCCTGTGTCACAAAAACCAAATTATGAACTACAATCCAACCACAGTTAAGTATCAGTATGATGCTAGGAAAGTTTGATTTTAAACAGAATTAGATAATCTCAGGCCCAGGAATCAAGAACGCTTTATTATAGGTTAAATCAGAAATTCCAAAAGTAATTCTAAAAAGGGTCAGAACTGTTAGCTATGGTTTTCTCAGTCATGGGCCCAACCATCATTTACCTTAAAAAAATAAAAATCTATTGTGCAATATCAGTATAATAAAGATATATGGGATATTTGAAACCTGAAACATTTATTTTTAAAATATCAAGAGTATCATAAATAGAGCTTTAACTCCCTTTTCCTTTCCATTTCTCCCTACTTTATCCTGTTATACTAAAATAAATCCTTCTACATAACATGTGGTGGCAATCCTACAATCCTAGCTTCTTGGAAAGCAAGAATAAATTGGGGGATGGTGGTTCTAGGTCAGCCTGGGGAGCTGAGGGGAGGGAGGAAATGATGGAGAGGGCAGACAAAAACTTCCAAGACTCTGATCTCCACTGATGGTTGGGTGCAGTGATACTCACTTGTTATTCAAACAACATACAGAGGCACAGATCTGAGGATTAAACTCAGGCTAGCCTGGATATAAAGTGAGATCCCATCCTAAAAAATACCCAACACATAAAGGGCTGGGGGAGTGTCTAGTAAGGATGAGGCTGAGCTTATACCTCAGTATTGCCAAAAAAAAAATGAAAGAAGCATGATTCTGAGGATTAAGTATAATAATACATGTCAAAGAGACATGTAAACTACAGAGTTCAAGAATTCTGAGTTTGCTAACACTCACTTCTTTCTGTGAACAAAGTATATATTAAGGGATTTACAAGTTATATTACTTCAACATTTAAGGACATAATATATATTCTCCACTTCTCTCCCATCTAAATAAGACAAAAAAAATCTGCTACAATCTATAAATTGAAGTTCAGAAGAGAAAAAAGAATGTCTTAATTAGCAGACTATTGACAGAAGCTCTGAGTAAAGAAAGTGTTCTAAATGTGGGCAGATGTGGGTGGCAGGACCTACAAGTTTTAATTCACTGCTAGAAAATCATAGCGTATTAACATGTCATATGACCGTTGTCATGTGGATAGTTACACTATAAAAACTACAGTACAATGGAGTTTCTCCCCAATGAAGAATACAATAGGTCTGCAGTTAATAACAGCCTTAGAGTCAGACAGATGAAGTTTTGAGCACTACATCCTCCATTCAATGGGCTTTATGCAAATCACTTCACTCTCTAAGTCTGTTTTTCCATTTGAGAAATGGAAATTGCATCCTAAAGATGGCCCTGTGGAATAAATAAAACAGATAATGTATGTAAAGTACTTCCCACAGCTCCTAACGCACAATAATGATCCTCATCATATATTCTTTAATGATGACTAGAAAAGTAAATGCAGTGCATTAGCCAAGATTATGGGTCATCTGCATATGTAAAGGAACAGAATCGATAATATTTGTGCACAAAATAGCAGATGTAATTCACTACAAAATGCTGACATTCAAAATTAGCAAGTTCCTTCAAAGTTAAAAAAATACACTTATATAACTGTAACCCCCTTCTGTATATCACCTTTAAAATAACAATTTAAATTTTAAAAAAGTATTAAAGAAGGGAGGTCCAAATTATATCTCTCACTTGAGTACACATAATATTTATCCCCTAAATTAGCCTCTTAAGTTTTTCCACTGCCTCGGTGTTGGTGTACCAAATGCATATGTATTTATAAGAAGTTCTTCAGCATGAAAAATATGTTTCATATGCTCCTTAAATTTTGGGGGGAATGAGATGACAGTAACAAGAATTTGTTGATGACAGTAAATGGAAAGCAAGATGAAAAGTTACAAAGGGACAATCATGAAAATCACAAAATGAACCAGGAGTTAAGTACTTACACGGTACCAGGGTTACTGTAGACGGAAAATACACACAATGAAGATGTGATAGAAGAGATATGAATATGTCCAGGATGATGGAAAACAGAGATTAGGGAGAAAAGAAAGAAAAAAATTGAAACAGCAAATTTCAAAGCAAAGAATTTAAGTGAGGACAATACACAAAAAACATGCTTCAAAGTAATCATATAAATATAGACAAACACATACAAATGTTAGTTAAAATTCTGCTAACATGGTTATGATTTGATAAGTTTGGACAGCACGTTTTACTAGTTTCCACCCTTTCAACACAAAAACTACTTTATTCATTAGTACTGGTTAAAGTTTCAAGTTATTGAAAAGCAAGATCTACCTACTAAAAATAATCCATAATAAAATCTATATAGAATTCATCTTAGTGGGCATATAAATTGTTACGTTCCTTACAAAAGGCAAAAAATGAAGTTATTTAACAAGTAGAAATAGAGAACTTTGAAAGTCACTTTTAAAATCAGAAAAGGAAATCAAAAGGAAAAAAAAACTTCCAGTTTCATATTATAAAAGTATAGCTATTCAGTGTAATCACATAAATTAAGCTAAAAACATTGAGAAAAACTATTTGAGTATTTTCCCCTAAATGAAGGGCTAAAAACAAAAACAGAAACAGAAAGCACAAGCACAGAGGACCAGGAAAAATTACTTTCTCTCAATTCTCATACCCTTGCCTACTCTCCTTAACATCACCCTCACTCCAAAGCAAGGTTTGGAACTTGAGAACTAATAAGCGGGAACTACATCATGTTGCATTATCAGTGATATAATTGTTGCCTAGAAAGGTCCACCTGATTTGAAATAGTGAAGGGACTTGGGTGATAATACCCAAAGAGAGAAAACTTGCAAGTATATTTCTCTAATTAATAAGAGTAAGATCATTAAAATGCAAATGCATTTGCATTCATTATAGAGAATAAAGTATAAACGTCATAGTTTATGTACACATTATAGTGCACGCTTCAATTCTGAGTATTCAGAGTAAATAATAATTCATTATAAACATAGAAAACACTGCCTATCAACTTTAATATTAAGACTGATTGGTGTTGCTATATTCCCACATGTCAAAGTCAATTTCATAAACTCAACGCCTGACTATTTCTACCACACGCTCATGGGATTCAGGAATAAGTTCATCTCAAAAGTTCTTCTGTATTTTCTGTAGTCATTTACGTCACAGTATAAAGCATTCTCTACTCTGCCTTGCTATTTTAAGTAGTAGAGAAATACTTACATAAAATAACCTCTCCTGAAAAGAGTCAACTTTCAGATGGAAATGTAAGTATTTTTAAATTGAAGGGAAATGTTTTGTGTCAGTATTAAGTTGGAGGGAAAGCTAGGCGCTGGTGGCTCATGCCAGTAATCCTAGCTATTCAGAAGGCTGAGATCTGAGGATCACAATTTGAAGCTAACCCAGGCAGAGAAGCCAATGAGACTCCTATCTCCAATTCAACACCCCAAAACTGGAAGCATTTCTGTGGCTCAAATTAGTAGAGTGCTAGCCTTGAACACAAAAGCTCAGGGACAGCGTCCAAGCTGTTTGTTCAAGCCTCATGACTGACCAAAAACAGAAGAAATGTTCTATGAAGGGCTTCCAATGTAAGGAAGACTGAGTCAATCAACATGCTTCAAATATTCGAGGAAATACAACAGTAGCAGAAACATCAATGTGACAGCCAGATGACCTGATCCTAGTCATTCTGCCTATGTCCCTTCAAGCTTTGACGAAGTTAATTTACAAAATATTTCTTCTCCCAACACTTCAAAACACTGCACTTCTATCCTTCAAATGTCTTATAAGGGTTTATGTTTAAAATATTTGAAGGAACTTTGGAAACAAACTGTTTTAGCACAAATCTAACAATTAACTAATGTCAATGAATTCCTTCATATAGCCTCAAATCAATTGAAACTAAAAATAAATGGTAACTCAAAATAATAGGAGTATGCCCAAGCCACAAACAAGTGACACCATGAAAGACAAATCAAGATTTGGCTTCAAAAGACTTAGGCTGAAATCTTAACTATACACTCAACATGACAGGTGACCTAAGAAAATTATGTAATGCTTCAGAATTCAGTTCAAATGAGAAGTAGATCATACAATGTATTTAGAAACCCAGTACAAAGAATAGCAAACTAATATTATTTACCACTATATTACCATTAATTGCTATATTATTGCTATATTAATTTGATATATTAAGGATGTATTACAATATAGCATCTTATATATCATAATCATATATAACAATATATATCATTAATAATAATACATCACTAGTAATGTATTATCACTGATAAATAATAATCCTTTATTTTTTTAAATTTTTTGTCGGTCATGGGGCTTGAACTCTGGACCTGGCTGTCGAGAGCTGTCCCTCAGCTCTTCAGCTCAAGGCAAGTAATCTACCTCTTGAGCCACAGAGCCACTTCCAGTTTTCTGGTGGTTTACTGGAGGTAAGAGTTTCACGGACTTTACTGCCCAGGCTGGCTTTGAACTGCAATCCTCAGATCTCAGCCTCCTGAGTAGCTAGGATTACAGCACCCAGCCCAATAATTCATTAATAGTTGAATGAATCTGAATCTTTAACTTTAAAAATTTCCATTTAACTTAAATGCCTAAATTAAGTTTTTTAAATCCCTTTTTCCCTTATTCAAATCAAACTGTTTGCACTAGAATCTAGTAACTGTGTAGTTGTTATGTATAAGTTAAGAGACAAAAGCTGGAGGACATACTGGAGTGCAATATAATTATGTATATAAAATGAAATTATATGGTAAAATCAATCTAATTATAAAAAGGCTGCTCTAATATTTCAGTAGTTAATTTTGAGGGTGTATATATATATTTCAAGATTTGCCTTCTGCATTCCTGATTCTACTTTATAGTATAATGAGGAAATTTCTGTATGTGTGCAGAATAACGAGTTAATTGATACAAAATTACTTTAAAGTGGTATTATCAGCTTATTACTTTATTTTTAAAGTAATCATTGGCAGTTTAATGTCAATATGAACATATACAAAAGCCAAATTTGAAAACTATATCATAGTGATTTTTGAATGGTTATGCCAGCTAGGTAAGACATTTAATAAATTCACAATTATCTCACTTGACTAACTTCAAGATTATATAGATTTTCTATTATCTACATATATAAAACCTAAACTGGCTAGTCATATTGCTTGAATTTAGGCAAATCAAGGAAAGTGTTAGAAAACTATGAAATACTAGCTTTTGATATTAATTTGTAATCAACTCATTTTATATATGCTATTTACTGGAAGTACAAATGATTGTGCTTTCTCTCCACTCTGATCTTTGTCTTCTAGTAGTCTCTGTTGATAATAATTGCATTTCTCACACATGGTCTCTTTCCAAGCATTACACAGCAAACCTCCACATGTATTTCATGACATCACTTAAACACTACTATATATTACTGTAAAGCAATTCATCACAACACAGCAATGCAAATCAAACTGACTAAAAACACTGTACGTGGTTATTGTAAACTACAGCACTTTTGCAAAATTTAATTTTGCAAAAATCAGGCATTCATGCTGTTTACTCATATATAAATCACCATATTTCCTCTCCAGTAATGTGAATACTAACTTTGTCACATGTGTTTTCTGCAAAAAGAAAAGTATTTTGAAATATTACTACATATCACTGTTTCTTGTACTTCCCAAAAGGCAGATTCTTCAAAATACATAGAAACTGTTAGAAGAAATTTCAGTCCAAACAAAATTGAAATTAATATCAAATACCAAAGACTTACCTCCTAGAAGCAGCGGCACATTATAATGCAAGGACATGTGGGAATAGAAAAGTAGTCTACTACTTAAGACAGCTGCTCTTCTAGTTTGGGATATAAAATCCCATTCAGTAGTAAATGCTCAGAGCAATGCTTTGTAGTAAAAAGGCTTAAATTTCCTAAAGTGCCTTAATCATTATTAATTACAAGAAGGAAAAGTTGAACGCTTGCATCATCATGAAATATTCTTAAAATATCAATATAATTTCGAGTCTATCCTATTTAATAAGAAACTTGGATAATTCTTTCTTAGTAATAGTGTTTAACTAATAACTTATTTATGATTATGTTTATTTGTCCCATATACATCTGTATCTAAAAAATTGGCATACTAGCCTGCTACTTTCAATCACTAAATATTAGCCATCTTCCTACTGGATTAAGGTAAAGCCAGGAGAGGTATTTGACTTTACATCTTTCCCAACTCTTAAAATTTTGGTTACTAATATGAATTGTTTCAATAAAAGTAATTCATAAAAAGTAACAACTCGTAAGAGTTTTATATTTGCTAACATTATAAAAGCCTGGGAAAGAGAACTGTAAAAAGCTGAAGAGACCCGGGCACTGGTGGCTCACTTGTAATCCTAACTACTCAGGAGGCTAAGGTCTGAAGATTGCAGTTGAAAGCTATTGGCAGGAATGTCTGTGAGACTCTCACTCTGAGACTCTTATCTCCAATTAACCACCAGAAAACTGGAAGTGGTGCGGTGGCTCAAGTGGTGGAGCTTTAACCTTGAACTTAAGAGTTCAGAGACAGCTCCCAGACCCACAGTTCTAGCCCCACGACCAACAACAAGAAGTTGAAGAGAAAATCAGTTTGATACTTGTTGCAGGAAAAGATTCATAAATATCATAAAACACCTGCTCTTCATTCTGGTATCACTGGCTAGTAAGTGATTTAATTTTTATTTCTCTAATCTAAAGGTAGTGAGGGAAAGAACATAGCAAATGTGTCTTTAAAAGACACCCTATTTGGTTTTGGGGAATAATTGTGTTTTCATTGTCCTAACATCTGGACAACATTTGAAATCAAGCTATTTTAAAACACATACAGTTGGCATTAACTTGCTTGTTAATGATGCAAAACATGTAACAAACTCCTTTTCTCTTAGATTCTGCACAGTGCTATATACCAAGCCAGAGCTTAATAAACACTCCAGACTAAGAAGCCACCTAAAGCCCTGGAACCATAACACTACCCGATTTCAGCTTGAAAATACGCTTTAAGTCATTTCAAGTTTAATCACCAACCTGTGCTTATAAAACACAAAACTGAAGCTTTTTTTTTTTAAACCTAGGGCTTTTCCATAACTTCAATCTGCTTTGACCACTACAGTTTTCCATTAGGGAGACTTTCCAGTGAAATTTCAAGAAGTGCTAATTGGGAAAGATGATTTAAGACACTACTACCTTTTTTCTCTACTAACAGTGGAACTTCATACACACAGTAAACCATTTCTGTTTCCGGTGGGGCTAGGATTTAATAGGCAGCATCTTTTTTTTCAGATTATCTACTCTGATTACTCTAAAATCTAGTGCCTTAAAGTAAACATAGAGAAAATAAAAAATAAAAATAAACACAGCTCAATGCTGCATAGCCTTCTCTTCCTTCCATGAAAGAAGAAATAATATTCTTTGAAGGGCTCTAGTTTTCCTTAGCACACATAAAGACTTTAAAAAGCTACCCACAAGCAGAAAGCCCTCCGTACAACCCAGTAACTGGTCTCCCAGAGCTCCTGTTCCCTCCCAACAGCAGCCTGGAGTCCTGCCACCTCTTCCAAGGCCCCAAGTTACCATGGCAGCAGGGCTACAGAAGGCACAGCCTCTTCATTCCCTGAATCAACACTCAGAAGGGATTAGAGCGCATGACAAAGACCTAGCCACACAATTATTTTAATTATATTTTCCTGCAGACTGGCATTGGTGAGAATTATCACATGTGCAGATTATTTTACTTTTAAAGTTCATTCCTGTCGCAATCCATCTAATCAAAGTGATTTTTAACTAAATGACTGCCTTAAAGTAACTTCACTGAATGGCAAAATGACCACAACAACCATCTAAAAACTGAAGGCTGATGAAGATATATTCCTATAAAGGTAGGGCTCAAATTTTTTAAGCAAGTTGAAATAATTCTTAAGAAATACATCCCTCGGGCTGGGAAGATGGCTCAGTGGTAGAGCGCTTGCCTTGCATGCCTGAGGTCCCCGGTTCGATTCCTCAGCAACACTTAAGCAAAAAGAAAAAAGCCAGAAGTGGCGCTGTGGCTCAAGTGGTAGAGCGCCAGCCTTGAGCTGAAAAGCTGAGGGACAGTGTCCAGGCCCAGAGTTCAGGCCCCACAACCGGACCGAAAAAAAAAAAAAATACATCCCTCAAAATGAAAGATTATGAATGCTTGAAACATCCCTTATTGTTTTATCCCTACTGATTGCTTTCTATTTTATATTATTGTAAAGGTGATGTCCAGAGGGGTTACAGTTAATAAATAAGATAATGAGTACATTTCTTATCAAACACTGTTACCTCCTCCCTCATTTTTCTCCCATTTTCCCTGCCCCGACTCCCCCGCCCAAATAGTAAAGTTCATTTCCAACATACATTTTAGACATATAAGCTATTTGCTCTAAGCTGATCCTTCATATATAGATCTAAGTCAAAAGTTAACTTGTTATTTTTTCTGTTTTCTCAACTACTTTCCAGTGGGAAAGAGCCTTACAAATTCTATTTTTTTTTCTTCTTAAGGTGACATCCATAAGAGAATAACTATAATCCACTTTTTTTAAGTTTTATGTAGCCAATGAAAGCATGGAAAATTTAAAAAAGAAAGGTCCACACTTTGCTTTGCATTATAAGTGCCAGCTGCTGAATGTGTCAGGATGCGGAGGAAAGAGTTACAAGGTATGTGACGTGATCAGAGCGCATGAGAATGCATACTTAGGCTTGATTAACCTATAACTGCTTTACATTAGGTGCTTCCTTCAAGAAACAGCTGACTGGAGGGCCTGTGGCTAAGTGTTTCCTGGAAATACCTGAAAGAAGAGTTTTGGTAAGAGCAGAAAGCCCCCATGGCCACCTACCCATTTTGCTGTTTACTGTCACCCTGGGATCCTCTTCTCTGTCCCTCCGCTAGCTCCTGAGCAGGCTCGGAACACACGCTGGTGGTTGTGGGCTGCCGTGGGACATTAACTGCAGTTTTACCCGTGCTCAGTGCAGAAGAACACTGGTCAGCACTAGGGTTGGCATTAACATGCAGTCCAGATGCAGAGAAGGGGGGAGGAGGGTCAGCAGCCACAGGTGGAGGGAAAGCGTGTGATGAGGTGGTGGCATGGGCTGGGGTGAAGGCAGACGATGGTGATGGAATGGAGGTGACTTTTGGTGAAGACACAGAACCAAAGGGCCGAGGTGCCTTATTGTAGGCCATGTTGGTTGTGGAAGTGACTTTGGACACAGCAGGAGATGTAATGGGCACAGGCTTAACTACTTCTTTAGGTTCTCCCTATGTGAAATAAAAATAAACATATACACAAAACATACCAAATACATGCAAAAATATATTCGCTGCAAACACACAGTTGACTTGTAAAAGACAAACACAATCACATTGGCAGCTCAAATGTTACATTTCCAGGAAAAACAATGAGTTGAAACAGCATAGCATGCATGCTAACTGTTCTACACATGCACAGCACAGATGCAAACAAGAAGCATATTTTCATTTATGAAAATGAAAGAAGGTCCAAAACATTTAGGAATCCAAGCAGAAAAAAAAAAAAACCACTGAAAAGCCTGTAGGCCACCATAACACTATCAATTTAGATATATTCTAAAGAATATAAATTTGCTAATTGAAATGTTTTAGAATATGTATCAATTATAATTCATCTTTTAAACATCTGTCACTTCTTTCCACAGTGCAATTACTTGATTCATGAAGAAGCAGTACATTTAAAACTTTTCAATTAAAAAACAAAGTAAAGAATAGATGATTTCCATCTGAACTCAGATATGAGCACATTCTAGTTATTTTGAATCAAGAATTTACAAACAAAATTTTAAAAAATCAACCCTTCCTTTCTCCCTTAATCCACTTATGTTTCTCTGAATGATTTAAGATATGACTCAGAGAAACAATAACATTCTTTCCCTTTTCCAAAATAAATATTTAATAATCTTCTGAGGAAAATAATTATCTTAGAGATACTCCCTCTTTATCAGCAGCCAAAGCTAGTAATAAAAATCAATTCCTACTAAAATTACCAGAATTTGTGTTGTAAATCCTTATCCCACAGCATATTCAAAGTTCATTTTCTTTGAAATCAGAGTAAGCTTCTATGATATTGAAGAAAAAATCCTTATACTATCATTCCAAAAGAAAACTAACGAAAAACTTAAGAAAATAAACAGTGGTAACTCTATTATGTGTATTTGTGTATTTTTTTTAAAGGTAACATTCTACAAAACCTGAAAAGTAACCGAGGAAAGCAAGTAATTTGATGTATAGGTAAATCAATAAATCAATGAATTTCCAAAAATATTGATGTATTAAAAACATCAAAAAGCATAAATTAAACACCTGATATGAATAATGGCTACCATGAATAATAGTAATAATAAAAAAGGCTACCATGAATGCAGGACTGGATGCTATTAAGACTCCCAGTCTCATTTTGGGTAATTACTTATTTATTCTTTTTAAAAACACATGATTAAAAGTAGAAAAATCAAAAGTAAATATAAGTTATTGGTAATGTATAGCTTTAGAAATAACATTATATAACTATAATTACATATGGTAATGTGTTTATTTCCACTTTAATTTTTTATCTTTTAAGGAAAAGAATCATGAAAGAGAAAACTGTATTAAGACTATAAATTAAATGTCGGTACCCTGAGACAGAAACAGAAATCACAATGTCTCAGGAGAGACAAATCAAATGGTAGCATAGTGATTAGAAACGTACCTTCTGAACAGTAACTGGCTCAGGCTTGGATGTAGCAGATGCTCTGAGGGGAAGGGAAAAGGAGAGAAAAAAATTTTAAGAACATGAATTGTTATATATTTACAAATTTCTTATTAGTGGGGTTTATCACTATATGCTAAATCATCATCATATGTAGGCTTATTTTTTTCATATGTATGTTTATAATTCATAGTTCTAACTCTTCACCATCTTCTAACTAGTTCATGGTAAGCCAAATATTGCAAGACTCAGTATCTTTACACACCAGGTATTCAATACTGGCCTCTAGCTGCGAAAAAATAAATACCAATCCAATGTTTCATCTTTAAGTTAAAGTCATCCTATACCTTTAAAGTATAATAAACATGACATCTTCTCCTTGAGCCTCACTTGAATCCAATCTCCATCAGTGTCTCCCTTTTCTGCAACATCCATGAACATGTCCACAGGATATTAGGTCACTCATATTCTAGTTGAACTGAGTTTTTGAATGAATAATCTACAGTGTACTTTTCTTAAAAGTTTATACAAGTTAATGTACTTGCTATGCATAAACTAAACAGGGAATTCTTCCACTAGGATCTAATTTCCATAAAGGCAATGACCCTGACCCATTTGGATCTACATCTTAGCACAGTGCCTGGCACATACCATGTCATTAGTCATGAATGTGGCAGAGAAAAAAAAGAAAGCCAGATGAAAGTCTATGTATACAACTTTTCATATTTTACAAATTCAAGTGAATTCTTATTTTTAATGTATGCTTTTTCTTTGTACTGGGTACCTTTTTAGATATCACAAACTAAGTAGTAACAATAATTGGTTTGGAGTAATTATCTCATATGAGATGAAAATTATTTCTTATCTTTACAATAAAAAATATATACTAAAAAATTATTTCTGTGAGGTAATTAACACCAATAATTCACATTCACACACACACACACACACACACACACACACACACACAACCAAAACCAAATGCTAGAGACTCACACCTGTAATCCTAGCTATTCAGGAGGCTGAGATCTGCAGATCACAGTTCAAAGCCAGCCCAGGCAGGAAAGTCCTTGAGACGCTTATCTCCACTAAACTACAAAAAAAAGCCAGAAGTGGAGCTATGGCTCAAGGGGTAAAGCACCAGCCTTGAGCAAAAAAACTAATAAGGAACAGTGCCCTGGCCTCAAGTTTCAGCCTCAGTCTCACACAATCAAAACAAAATTCTGGCTATATTCAAAGATATTAACAAAATAATCAGAAAAGTCTCTCATGATTTAAAAGCTATTTACTCAATATTAAAGCTCATATTATTTTTAATATTTCAAAAAGCTATTTGATTCCTCTCATACCAGTACAAGGACAAAAAAAATTAAATCGTTTAGAATTCACAAAATATAAACATAGTAGATGATTATTAAGCCATAATAATTTTACTGTATAAAACATGAACTGTTTTATTATCATGGCAACATATCACACACAGAAGACACTATTGCCATGTATTGGGTCTTCAGGAGCATAATCTAGTATTGAACTCTGATCAACATTATTAGCAGCAACTGAATTTTCCAATAACAACTAATTTGTCTAGCTGTGGCAAGCACTGACTAAACAGTGAGCTAAGGTAAGAAAAGGCCACAATGAATGCTAACATTCAAATACTGGAGTACAGGTTATTCTCAGTGCAGTTACAGAATTCTCATGTACACTCTCAACAGGCAATCTGTCTTTTAGTTTACAGGATTATTATAACAAAAAAATGTTCAAGCACCAAATCTTCCTTTCATTGAAATTTCACAAGAAGTTGTAATCACAAAGATCTAAATATTAAAACTACCCAATATATTATTGAACATTTTCCAAAACAAAGAAGCCAGTATCCTTTCATTTCTTTATTTCTTCTTTTTTGTCTGGACATTTGAGGTACATGGACCATTTCTAGTAACATAAAAACAATCTGGGGATGTGAGTAGTAGGAGGAGGGGGTTAGGCTAATAATGAGGATGAAAGAAGATGAATACAGTTGAAATAGACTATTTGCAACTATGAAAACAGACCAATGAATCCTTTTTAAATTGTTCTGGAAAGGGGAAATGGGGGAGGAGGGAGTGATAGAAGGGGAAACAGCTCTTGGAATATAGTTGTAAACATGTATAGAAGATGTAACAACTAATAAACTAATAATTTCTAATAGATGCTAGTTTTTAATCCACTCAAGAAAAAACCCACTAACTTGTAAAATGAATATAATACTTGGCTCAGAGTAGAGAACTTGCCTAGCATGCACAAAGCCCTGGGTTCCATTCTTAGCTCTGAAAACCAGAAATAGAGTATCTAATAGTCACTAGATGTTACCAAACTAAGTAAGACTATATGTCTATGAAAACAACCCTTCTCAGTTTCTTATTGGTGCTGACTCTTAAGTTTTAAGGCTAGGAATATAGCTCAAAAACAGAGCATTTGGCCCTGGGTTCAATCCTCATAGACTGAATGGCCCCAGAACAGTTTCATTGATTTTGGAGTGAAACCAACTTATTTTGTTGGGAATTCATAGAAAAACAATGAATCCTCACTACTTTATTAAGTAAAAATTCTTTGAAAACATTGAAATTTTGAATTCACAGAATTTAAATCTCAAATGTGGATGCATGCCCATTTTTTCTTCTGACATTCTCACAAATGCAGATGAACAATTAGGGGAAAGAATGGAAACATGCTCTCAAAATCCTGGAGTGAGTCCAGTACACAAACACCTTTTGGTAGGAAAAACAGATTGGAAAATAGTTGATACTGGATGAGACAAAATTAAGTTCTCTCTCTTTTTAATTCTGACCATCAAAAGAGACAGAATCATTAAGCTTCGAGAAGAAGGTGCCTTACATGTCAATTTACGGAGGGGGCGGGGGGAAGGGTATTGTCTGATTTTCCTACCTCTGCCTTGGTAGCTAGAATTACAACTGTGTACCACCACACCTGGCTATTTTTACGAACTATTTAACTAAACACCAATGACTCATTACTATAATCCTAGGTATTGGGGGGTGGGGAGAGGGAGAGAAAGAGATAAAGTGGAGGAGAGAGTGAGAAAAATTGAGAGCATCACCATTTGAGGACATCTCAAGAACAAAGTTTTCAAGACCCTGTATCAACCAATAGCTGGGAATGGTCATGTACTTCCCAGCTGTAAAGGATACGTGTAAATAGGAAACTCTGGTCCACGCTAACTTGGGCATAAAGCAAAACTCTATCCCAAAACAGAAGAAAAACAAGCTAGAAGCATGGCTCAGGTAGAACAGAACCTGCCTAGAAAGAGTAAAGCCCTGAGTTCAAATCCCAGTAAAACACACACACACACACACACACACACACACACACACACATACACACACACACCCTACAAACAATATTTTTTAAAAGAACCAATCTTTATAAAGTCTAAAATGTCCACTGAAGTCTCCTATAAATAGCTCAAATATATCAGTCATTAAATTCTTAAAGCCTTTGTTTATGCAAAGTATCTTATTCATCTAGTGTGTTCTTGAACTGTATGTTTGCTACTCAAAGATAAGACTATGATTCAACCAATGTTTAAAGAAGAAAATTCAATTTCCTTCAGCAAACTGGAATATGTCTATTTGGAACATTTCCTGGGGAGAAAGTCCTTTTATATAAATAAGGAGAAGCATTTGTTAAGGTAAAATTTCTTCTAATTATCTTTTCTTTCTTTAAACCCTGAACAATGTCAGAAATTACATTTAAGAAGACTAATTTTTAAAAAGCTATTTAAATTAGTGAAGAGTTAAAAACTGAGGTGTAATTTTAACATTATTCCTACTTTTTTTCCTTCAAATCACGATGTGATCATGTATCTCTCTTTGAACTACAGTAATCATCACAGGACACTGGTGAGTGTGTGAGTTTCAAATCAGTAAGGATCCTGGCAGTGGCTTCGTGCCACAGGCTCACAATATGTTCATTGTTCTCTCTCCCCTTGGTGGGCAGCCCTGCACAGTAGTTAGCCAGGACAGTGAGACACCAGTGACTTAGCTCACTAATATCCCCAGTTTGTGGAATCCAAAGAACAAAGCCACCAGTGTGGCTAGAACAATCTTTTCAAAGTTGCTTGGTTTTAATAAAATAAGTTCCCAAATAAAATTTTTTTTAAAAACCCTTATATATTAAGACCAGTTTCAGAATTCTTAGGTGAACAGTTGAAAGGAGATATAATAGATTTATTAGGAGTTATAATAGATTTATATAGGTTATAATGGATTTATAGGAGTTATAATAGATTTATTAAAATCCAGAACTGTTATGTCCTAGTTAGAACAACAAGTAGAAAAATAGAATAAATAGAGCTCATCATACATTAGCTTCAAAAGAACCAAGCAAAATTTCAACCTAAGCATGCCCAACAAATGGAGCTACACTTACATAGCTTTTAACTAGTGCTTACTGTAATTAATGCATGTTTTTCTTAAACCGATTTACATAGTAACATTTTTCCATTAATAAAGTAGCCAATGAAGTTTCAAGTTCATGTTTAAGAATGAAGGATTAGGCAACAGAAGGAGGCTGGTAGAGATTATTTATATTACCCATTATGTCCATTATACAAATATCTTGTCTAATACATTTAATCCTATCTAATATATTTAACTTCTCAACAATCATAGAGAACAGAGGAGGGGCTTGGCTCATCTCCTATGGGATGAGCTCGAGCTAAGTTTCCCACAGCATAGCCACTTTAGGACCCACTGACCTTAGGACCCATAAACACTAGGGCACATCATTAATCACTTTAATTGCAAAGTTGTCAATGTGCAATAACAAAGGATCTCCAAGGAGAAAAAAAGTGAGCACTTGAGACGGTGCCAAAGGATGGCTCCTTGAATACAGTCAGTCTACTGTCCTCTAAACTCAAACGTGAAACATTCCAATCTCCTGGGGCCATAATTCAGTGAGTTTGTCAAAATGATGAGAAAACATTTATATGATGGCATTTCATATGAATGGAAACACCAGATGTGTGCGGGTCATATT